GATTTAGCCATTTGAAAAACTAAGGTGTCAGAGATTCTTGGGTACGGGGAAGGGTGGTGGGAGGGGCTGTAAGATTTTTGTAGGGTCATGATTAATATTTTCTTGATCCCCCTTAAGGACCTTAAGGTTTTGTAATGTTCCTATGATCCCCACTCACTGGCAGTTGAGTGGAAGTTACTCTTTATGGTTCCTCCCTTTATATTTTGTTGGCGATGACTGGTTCTCCTCCGTTTTCCCAAAAACCTCTGTGCTCCTTCCCAAATTCCCATCCCCCCTCCTCACCAGGCAATAAAATTTCTTCCATTTTCTTCTAACTTAAGACTTTCTTAACTTGCTAAAGTAAAAAAAAACCTATTTCCCCACTTTATAACGGACAGAGAGGTGGGCAATTGAATGTCAACATTAGAATCCAGGTATATAGGTTCAACCAATAGCAATGAATAATATGGGACCAAGAAGAGGGGGTAGGGAGGGAGGGGGTAGGGCTATTTGATAAAACTTGTCAAACCTACGTGGGATATATACTGATTGAGTAATCAAGCTCTAAACTTGTTCTCCTAACAAACTGCGCTGGTTTATAGCGTTGAAACCTCCGGGAAAATCCCTTCGGTTAAATAATTGTGTGAGGGACGATTCATTATTATCACCAGGGGGAGGGGGGTGGAATGAAGATTTTGCATGATCACGTTCCTTTTAGAAAGAACGGAGTAGGGATCAGCAAAAGGAGGGACCGTAGAAAATAGACTGGGAATCAACTGCCAATGAAGGGAGGAACACAACAATATTCAGCAGAGCCTTAAGGGTGTGTCTGCGTCGGAAGGGGGAGCGAGGGGGATCAGTAAATCCTGATACAGCCAAACTTTCTCCTTTCCCCCTCCCTCAGGATAAATAATGACCGATCCTTCTTGGTATTGTACAGCCTAAACTAAAATACACTGCGTATAAAAGGCTCATAACGTATACAAAATATGCAGACAGCTTCTGTGGCAGACCCACACTAAAAGATGTCGAGCTTTTTCAGAACGGGTCGGTCAGCGAACCCTATAAGAGATCTCATTATGGGCGAACATTAATAAGCGAACCTTCCATCGAGAAACATGCTATATCAACTGGGACATCTAATGTGAACCGAGGGAAGCATATCTCATCGTGTGTGTAAACGTGATCGTGAACCAAGCAGAATACCAAGACGATGTTTGAAAATTTAAGAAACAAGAGCAGAAAGGTTAGGGAATTGGTCTATGTACGTTTTCTTTCATGAACATGTGAGAAACCTCCATCTCTGTCATACTAAGGGAAAAACAGTTACAGGATAAACCAATAATTACATAATGAAAATGCAGGCACAAAAACAAAGCTTCTTTCCAACAGAAAGCACGAGTGCACACAACTATGTGTCTAGTTTTAGAATGGTTTGGGGTGTTACGAAAATCTCTGCGAGTCTCCCGAAGTGTTTGCATGATCAAACGTGATGCTGAGTTTAAGCTTCCCTTGCCGCTAAGGAAACTATGCAACGTCTTTCGCACTCACCGTAAATATCCCTCGGTCGTAATGTTTCCGCCTTTCCGTCCAGCAAAGTAACTGCCCAGTAAAAAACGATGCTGAGGAGAATTAACTTGCATTTTCGGAACAAATGTGAAAATTGCATAATATTGGTAAGAACCGTTCCACGGTGAGCTCCTGATACAGTCATGTTGTGAGCCTGAGAACAGGCCTTGAAATTTTCCTTTATCTCAAGAGTAACAGGCAGCTATTGTTCAGTATGCACGTTTTGTCCTATTATTAATGCTCTGCATGTATCATATTCTAAATTAGGAAAGAACTGATGCAGAAAGACTGAAGAAAGAAGTCGATGATTTTCTGGGTTAATGAAGCGATGCCTTTCAAAATATATGTTATTTAGTTCTGTACTTCCCGTATTAAATTCCTTTGATGGGCTTAATTTCTTAGCCCAGACAGAAAAAGCAAGATCTCAAGATACGCTTCATGGCTGTGCAAAATATACAAGCCTAAAAAATAACAATATGTCGGCAAGATTGTGTCCCAGTTGCTACTGGAGTTAATGTATGCATTTTCAAGATCAATCTTACTGAATAGAGTGTCGCTTCATAATGAGTGTTAAAATCAGCCTTGAGGGACTTTCATTGAGGAGTCATTGACCAGTAAGTATTTCAGATTCTTTCAGGTGCCATAAGGAAGAACTTTAGATCTTCCAGTTTCCTAGTTATTATGTAGGTTGTGTGTGATAAGCGGTTTGCATACCCTTAGAGTCAACTCCAGCATTTTGTAAAGTAACTAATTGTAGTTTTAGTCAAATGCGCTCATTTTTTATTTCCTCGTCGCCAGTAAGAGTTTTCAATACAATTGCTCCTCTTGCCACTGGGATCCTTTCGTATCGATGTGATGCAAATTCATATGGTACGCTCCCTAGAACCGTGAAGGGATGTTAATAATATAAAAGATGGCGTTCTTTGCAGAACACGTATAGTAGTTTGATTGACAAACAACACAACAGAAGTGTTTCACAAAAGGCCTAAAGCTTTACAAAGAAACGGAACTATTACTGAAACTCAAAACGCAGAAATAAACACGAAGTAAGCTTAGCTAAACGGACTAAACATTAAGAATTAATAAGATAATTACGGGGTAAAAAATCATGGCGAATATTCTGGCTTCGAAACTGAATATTTTTTGAGGTGCTTGAAAGTTTTTATGTTAAAGCTTCGAAACTCCAATAATTTGGCGAGGTTGGGTAGTTATGTCCACATGCACTTTCGATACTATTGATCTTGAAGTTTTTAGTTTCGTCATGCGTTCTTAGATAAGCTGTAAGAATTTTTTATTGAGTTTTAAAGGGAGGGGTTCAACATATTTTAGTAGTGAGACAAACACACACAAAAAGTTTTAGAAAATAAAACAAAACATATTACTATTTGTCTCGTATCCTTTAACACACACAGGAATCCTTGGTGCCACCTAGAGGAAACGATTTAAAGAAAGACTGCAGATGAAGGGTAGAAAGTGGCCGCGAAAGGGGAAACTTTTTGCAAATGCACGATACATTTGGATAAATTTGTGACTGCTAACCATAGCATCTTTTAAAAACTTAGCTAATAGAGAGGCGCAATTCAAGTTTGGTCAGAATTTTCGTGCTTGCGATAATCTCATCGACCCAAAACATCTTAACCTCTAGTCCTTGATTACTGGCTCAGAAGCAACTATCGATAACGCGCTAAAAGTCAATTCGATCAAATCAATTATTATTATTATTTCCAGCTATGTATTTCCTTTCACTCATGACACAAATGATTTCTAGAGTTTTCTTATTACAATGTATGGTGTAGGATGGTTCTCAGCTTATTTAATTTGGATCAATTTAATCAATTTTTCGTCGTTAATTCATATTGAAAGCATGCTGGCCCGCTTGGCTGGGTCGTTAGTGTTGTTTGTCCTCCGGGAGTTTTCTTTCGAATGTTCGAGATCCCACTCGGTAATTTGTGTCGAGTCGAGACAAGAATTTTCCGGTTGGGAACTTTTGCTCAAGGGTAGCATCCCAGATCATTTATACAGCCAAAAAAAAAACAGACCAATATTTTCTCTTGACAAATCGACCCAAGAGATTCAAAGGAAAAAACAACGGTGGTAGAGTGAGTAGTGAGATGGCTGGCGGGAAACAGTCATCAGAGTCAGGAAAAATGCGTAAAGACATAGACTCAACGTAGAGGGGTAGAGTCGTTTCTATGTTAGA